GGCCAGGACTCTGCAGTTTACACTCATCTACAGGCCAGGACTCTGCAGTTTACACTCATCTACAGGCCAGGGCTCTGCAGTTTACACTCATCGACAGGCCAGCGGTCACTCTTTCAGGGATGAAGATGTTCTCACCCTTGATAGAGAGGACCGTTGTTTTGAGAGAGGAGTAAAGGAAGCCATCTTTGTGAAGAAAAACCATCCACCATTAAACAGAGGTGGAGGTCTTCGTGTCCAGTTGTCCTCCTCCTACAACGCTGTTAGTGCAAGTATGACTCCGCCCCCTGTGAGGAAAAGGCATGAATCAGGGCCCTAACAATAGTTAGGTGATGGKGCCCATGACCCTCTATGAACAATAGAGCCAATCAAGGCACTAATGACCTATTGTTWAGCGATGGCCCTCTTTTGCATGTGACCAACCTGTTTGTCCATGTGGAGGCAGGGCTTATAAGGCTGAGTTCACCTGAAACTCATCAGACTGAAGAAGTCTCTTGGAGGAGAGATGAAACRTTTCACTAAAGAAGAACCCRTCCAGAGAAGCTCCTTATTTTTTTCTTTTTAAWTTTTCTACCTGGATYACTGAGATGCATCAGGATGAAATCAGTGCAGTTTCACTACTTAAAGACAGATTTTAAACCCACGTTTTAATGAGTTTCTCTGTGTTCACCTCTCAGCTTCTTAAGCTTCAGTGTTTAAATTTACACAAACTTATAATAATTACAGAAAACATGAAAAATCAAAGCTTTTTTCCCCCGAAAATTTGCATGAAGAGCATCTTGAAGGGCAACAAGAGCAGATAAAACAAATACAAATGATCTTTTAGAAGTAGTCTTAAGATATAGTTGACCTTTAAAAGGTTTTGTTTTTCTACATTGTAAAGAGCTGGAGTCAACACAAGCAGTGCAGAAAGGAAAGAAAAGGAGGCAGTGTTGAGAAGCACTGAGACGCAGCAGCATGTCGCGCACGAGAGAAACAAATCAGACGTAAAGAAGAACAAAAAAGTAAAAAAACAAGCTGGTGTTCACAACTGGAGCATTTAGAAAAAACTAAAAATCACCACAGTGATGCATTAATGCTTCAAACACACACAAACAGAGACATGCTGTGAAATGACACACCTCTCATTTCAACATTTTTAACAACCACAGATTCATTTATTCACCACGTCCACTATAACAGTGTCTGAAGAGCAACGAAGGCCATGAAGGAACAAACCCTTTTCTGTTTCATAAGCTGATTTCAGCTGATGCTCTGTGAGCCAGAGTTTCAGGAAAATGTGACTACAATGTTTGCATGTTAATAGGATACAGCAAACCACCAAACTCCCACTGGACTCCAAAATCCACTCCAGCTAAAACTGGAACAGCGAACGGAGAAGAAAACCCTTTCCTTACTAAACTCAAAGTTAGACACTCTGTATATTTTAAAGATGCTAATATATTCTTGTTGATCAGAAATGTTCACATATCTACAAGCAGCATTTCATTAAGTGTGGACAAACTGATTCAGAATGCATGTTTGTTGGATAAAAAAAGTTTTAGGTCAGTGCTGATGCAATTATTCTTGCATTTTCTGTTGTTTTTGTTTCAATACACTGAGCAGAACAAACACAAATGATGTCCGGAGGTGTTGCCCACTGACTGCAGAGCAACCTGCTGGGACGTCTGACTCACCTCATAACCTTTCAGAGACGGGCCCACCAGGACCACCGGCCGCATGGAAGGAACCACGTCATAAGGAGGGACGTGTTCGGTCTGCACGAGTCGTGAAAACAGACAAAGGTGGGAATTAAAAACGCCGTCATGTGAAACCGAACGCACGGACTCGAAGAACGGATCTAGACGTACAGCTCAGTGGAAATAAAAATGTGTTTTTAAGAAAAGGTGAAGGAGGGGTCRGATAAAAAGAGAAACACAAACTTACCTGTTTCTGCTTCTGTTTGGCTTTTAGAATAAACAGAATGAGTATAAAACAGGACTGAAACATATAATCCTAAAGCTATATGTTACATATATTTAAAGTTTTAGCTTTGGTTTACACTTTGTTATGATGGCAGCTTAAACATCCATTATTGCTCCTCAGTACTTCTAAAATAAGCATTTTCCTGCCAATAATAGTTCCTTTRTTAATTTGAGGCTGTGAGAGCATCTCGCGGCAGCAGCAGGACTCCTCGTACCTGCAGATGGAGGGGTGGACCTCCAGCCTCCCGATGACGCGTTGCCTCCTTTCCTGTGGAGCATCATAATACAAAACTTCATTATGCGTGAATCCCCTAAGGAAGCAATTTAGATAGGACCTCCAAAAACAGCTCAACACATGAGCTATTTATGACTCAAAGAACTTCATAAAGAGTTTTTTTTGTTGTTGTTGCAGAGGACAGACAGAGAAGGGGGGAAGCTCTCAGAGCTGTGTGACCTCTGACCTCGCAGCTGCTTTTTGTTCCTGTTTTATCCTCATAGCTTCCAGTTTGACTGGGCTGGGGATGAAAGTGATGTCCGCCCCTTCCTTCACCAGCCGACCGATCCACCAGTCATTGTTGTATTTCTACAGGAAAGTGTGAAAAATTAAACGCGTTTTTAAAGCTCAATAAGTGTCAACAACGCTGATTTATGTTTCACCTCTTTGATGTGCAGAAAGTCTTTGGTTTCAAAGTTTATGGCGGCCCCTTGGACTGGACAATCCTCATCAAGTGCCCCACAATAACTCACGTTGGTTTTTACTGCAAATGCCACTGGTTTAGACTGTTGGAAGATAATGAAGAATAGATACGTGTTGGATAAAACTGAACGTTTTATTTCTCCAGCAGCCTCTCCTGCAGGGGCTGAGGGTGAATGTAACGACAGGTGTTATGCTGAGGACTTTTCTGTTCTCACCTTGGCTCTTTCCAGCTGCAGCTGAGCCTGGCGCTCGGCTTCACGCCGAGACGCCTCCCGGTCTTCCTCCAGGGACAGGTCGGAATCAGAAGGTCGACTAGTGTAGGAATCGGCTGAACCCTGAAAGAAGCACAAAGACTGCAATGAGTGGAAATAAACTCTTACAGCTCGGGCAGAGAGGAGATAAATCCACCGTAAAATTGTTCGACAGGTGGCAACTTCTGGGAAATGGGGCTTTACACAGAGCATGTACATTTTCCTGTGTGTCCTCCATGTCTTTCCCATTGTTCACCTGTCTCTGCAGCTGCCTGTTCTTTTCCTTGTAGTTTTCCAAAGCAGCTCTCTCAGGGGAACAGTGTGCACGAGTACTGCAACACTAACAACCTGTAAAAACCTCACTGTCTGTTTATCCACTCAACATGGCACATGTTGGCAGAAGTCCAGTCTGCAACTAAACATGCTAAAATGAGCACACTGGGTACAACAAAACCTTTAATATTTGGCTTTCTATTTTCTTAACTTTGCTCAGAAGCAAACACAAGTTCGGTATGAAAGTTATTGTCACAAAAAAGTAAAACAATTCTCCCCCAATTTCTTTTTCCAAGCAAGAAGGGTAACCCAAACAAAGAATGGAAAAAAAAAACTTTATTTCTATCATCACACTGACAGCACTCCAAATATTTCACACCTGTTTTCTCAGTCCATCGTCAGCCCGTGCTCTCAGTTGGGTATGAAACTAACAGAAGCACCCACATTAAAATAAGCTAAATATAGCCACATAGCAACATTGTGCTGCTTTTCATTTTTYCCTTCCATCTGGCTCTTCCTTTGTTTCCTCCTCCCTCCACCCAGCCACTTTACTCCTGTCTTTTCTTCTCTTCAGTTTCCAAACAAACAATTTTAGCTTCCTCCCAAACAGATTTTAGGGGTACTATTTGTAGATCAAAGCCTCCCAGAGGTGGCATAGAGTCTGCCAGCAGAGAAAACAAAACCTGGTCCACAAGACGCCCCGCAGATGGATGATGGGGAGTCTAGTTGGCAAAACAAAGATATCTCATCACTTTTACCAGCTTTAAAATAAAAGAGTTTTCAATGTTTTGATAGGGACACAGAGAAACCTCCATCTTCTCCTTCAACACAGTCTGTTATTAACACAAATGTGCTGAGTCATAGTCTGTAAAAGTCTGAAAGTAACCTCTGCGGCAGAAGAGTGTTTCAGACACTGTAGCACAAAAAACTGAAGAAACAATTTGAAGTTTTCAATAACCTTTCTATCCCTTGTCGCTGTTGGCACTTTACATTAAAGGTTAACAATGTGATCACAGAAACACGGGCCTCAGCGGTGGAGCAACATCAGGCCCGACAAACTCAGCTCCTCATGTTTTCAGATGGTTTTTAATTTTCAAACAGCATGCATCCTTCTCGCAATGCAGAAGCTGTCTTTCCTCGTAGTGCGGAAATGAGAAACGAGACTGAGAAAACCCTCTTGTGCTGGAAGTCTCATTAGAGAGTGAAACATGAGAGGATGACACAGCAGCAGCTGCAGATGCTCACCAGTAGAGGGGAGCACGTCCACGTCACAATTCCTCAAAATGCTTTGGTTGTRGATTCAGCTGCTGAGTGACACCTTTACTGCTGTAATCAACTCTTAATCTTCACATTTCCACTGCCAGAACAGCTCAAAATTGAATAAATGTATAATGTTTCTGTTCCTTATGGAAACAAAACAAATGAGCTTAACGTGTTTTTCACATGTCATACAGAGAAAACCATTTGACCACATGTGAACATGCTGAAAATGTCTTAAAATCACATGAGAAACACGCAGAACATAGGTTTCACATGTTAATGTAACATGTTTTCACATGTATTTTTCACACACGAAGTTCATGTTTTTTTTCTGTAAAGAGTTGTTTTAATATTTCTAAACCAGACTCAATAACTCATCCCAACGTTTTGTTACCCACAGTAATATCTCTGTTTAAAGTCCAGAAAGAAAAAAGCAACTGTTGAAAAGATCAATTATGTGATTACAACAACAAAATAATAATAATAATAATAATAATAAAATAACGGGGCACAAAAGGTTAGAAAAAAATACACAAAACAATAAAAGTCACACAAAAACTTTATTATGCCATTTTGTTATTATGAAATGAAGTGGATACAATTATTTTTAAAAAAGTAAAAAGCACAGATGGAGCCCAAAGAGAAATGACAAAAACCCTATATAATCCAATGAGTTATAAAATAGTTATAATGTGACAAAAATATTAAATAAATCTGAAGCATGTTTTAGACCTGTTTTAAGATGTAGTTAATTATATACAGTCAGACATCTTACCGCACACAGATGGTCATGTGACTTATTAAACAACCATAAAGGCATAACTGATTGAAGAGCTGAAGGTCTTGACATGAAAGTCATTCTTTACTGTAAAGCTGCCAGATTTGAAATGGACAGACAAACTTCATGTTTGCAGAAGCAATGTGTCAACAATGTAAGAAGACAAAGGAGCCAGGCATGTGGCAAACTGGACTTCTGCTGAAAACAAAAGCAAAAGTCCTCCAAATGTTTCAGAGCGGAGAGATTCAGGGACTAGGAGGAGTTTCCATGCAAAGTGATTTAAAAACAGGTACCTTGTTGAWTAATCCTGCAGCGCTGGAGTCGGAGGCAGACATGATTCTGCTGCCAGCGCTCCCTTCTCCCCATAGCTCAGAGAAAACATCAGAGCTCTCCTCCCATCAGCCCGTGGTTACAGAGAGGGAGGCACGTTCCAGTGCTGTGCTGCATCAACAGTCATTTCCTATACAAAATTGATGCTCTGGCTGCAGCACTGATGTGTGTGTGTTTTGCTTTCATCCATGCCTCATGAAGGAAAAAAAAGGCTGGCCTCTATCAACCTCATCATCCTCTTTTTTTCTTAAGCACTTCTCCTAATTTACCACAGATCTAGTTGTCTCTCATCAGCATCACAAGCCTTAAAGGTTGTTTCATACGTTCCTCCCTCATGTCATCCTGCACTACATCGACTTTCTTTCGGCGTTCACACTGGGCATTTCACTAAAAGAAACTATAAATAGGACCGAACAAAGACTGAGCTAAGTGATTGTGGCAAACAATTATATTCATGCACTGTAAAATCTAACATGTTGTTTCAGCTAAAACATAAGAGTGAAAAGACTGACTTAAAATTCAATACTTGGCACAAAATGTAAGGACGTTTGTGTTTAGTAGATTATATCTTCTTGGCAATAAATACTATATCATTAGAAAGCCTGGTAATGTCCCTTTTAATTTGTGCCATATTTGTAAATAACATGCATTGGTGGGATGAGCAGTAGAGCTGAGTATGTGGGTTGCACACATAACACAACGCAAACTGTTGCTATTGATATTTGTTTTGAGCTTCTGGTACCCCCAAGTAATACTTTAAAATTTAAAGACATTGTATAAATAAAAATACTAGATATATGTATGTATGTATGTATGTATGTACTGTATGCATGGGTTAGAGTAGTG